ATCAGATTCAATTTCGGGGACAGTGATTCGGGAATAGTGATTTGGGAATAATGATCAGTCTTTGAGAACAGTATACCAATTGCGTGTTAATTATACCCAACGATTGGTGACACGAGGATCGAGGACTACACCCCCGGGAGAGTAATCATGCATACATATGTGAAAATTCTTTGTTGTGCCCCTTTCTTGCTCTCTGTTGCAGCAAATCAGAAATCAGCAGCTTTCTAAAGCCTTGCACAGCATTCCGGCATTAATTGCAAACAGAGGCGAATCGGGGCATCGCAATGGATTTTCGCGCAAGGCAACTCGAACATGCATCATTCATCATTCGGAACAGAGCTGAGGCGGTCCATAGCTTGCATGCTAATTTATCCGCTTTCCTAGTTAAGTTGTTAATTAATTAGGATTTTGTACTTATTCGGACTGTAATTATTTATTCGGACTGTAATTACTTTCGGACTGTATGTTATTTATTCGGACCCTCCGAGTGAGGGCACAATTGTAATAAGTGTGTGTGCGTGTGATGTATGTCTTCCAACTCCACGTCTTTCCCCCTTTTATTTATCAGCTTATGATGGTTAGATTAGGGCATGTTTCAATTAGCATACTTATACTCGCATATTTGCATCCATTCATCTGTCTTGCATGCACCGGGCTCGGCGCATCATACTAACTGCATTGTATTTCAATTCCGAGTTGAATACGTGTTAGTAGTAGTATTTCACATGCCATTGTAGAATAGCCGAGCCTATTTTAGTAGCATTTTGCATGTGTTGCATTAGGCATTCCAGCATAGTTAGGATCATGCATGGATTTCTAATCAGCTTATGTTTTGGCTCGGAGTACTCGGTAAGTGCTTATGCTTTAGCATCCTTGCATGCGTGTGAGTGTTGCCATGACAGCATGCTTGCCATGAGGCTAATTGCTTATGTGATATAACTGCCTAAATGCTTGTGGGTGAAGGTTGGATTGCTTGAATTGGAACAATCCATTGGAATCAGTGTTTTAGCCTACTCGCGAGTAGCAAACTTCAAACCATTTCCAAACAAACGGATGGGCAATGCTTTGTTCTGAATTAGGCAATCTAGTCTATACTTGTTTGCTGTGCGCATAACATAGTAAATCTAGGCTAATAACCGGAATAAGAACCCATAATGTTTTCAAAACAAGATATCATGGTTAGTAAAGGCCGATCTTCGGATCGGGCGAGAGGGGGTGCTCATAGCTGACCTTCCCCAATCGTACCCAAGTTCCCGAGCCGAGGCAACTCTGGTGATGACAGACACGTGGCCTTAGGCAAACGAGTCAGGGTTTCCTAAATTCTCCCAAAATAAAATATTTAGGTGGCGACTCTGTATCTGCCAAAGCAGTCCATGTTTGGCACTTCTTTACAAAAATCTATTTTTCAAAACGATTTTTCGGATTTGGACTCTTTGGTTCAGATTAAGAACCATGACGATTTGAGAGTCCGAACTGTGGTGAGCCCAAAACGAACAGAACGGGATTCATCCTCCCGGGACGTTCGGGGACGTCTACACCAGGCTAGTGTTCCAGGGCCATACCAGACACACTAGTGAGAACAAGAACAATGGTTGAACTAACTCCTGTGTGAGGTCTATTGTCTCGGTTTACATAAACGGCAGAACAGTTCAAGACATCACGTTCACTGGTCAGCCAGTAAATCCGATAGGCTTTCACTACGAAAGGTTCAAGGCCAACAGCTACCTTTTCTGATGCATGGTTAGTCTCTGTGCTCTCTCTCTTTCTGAGTCTTTGTTGATAAACGTTGAGCGTTTGCTGTATTCGGTCAATTTTTATTCATGTGGGGGATTGTTGGAGAAAAATGGTTGAATAAGAAATTGCCTCATAAATGTGTATATAACTCACACATTTAAGGCTCATTAGTTTTACAAAATTGATTTGGCAGTTTTGCTAGCATTAGTTGCCAGCCTTGATGGCTAGAGGCTCCTCCCCTCTCCCCCATGGTGTATAAAAGGAGGCCCTATTCCTTGAAAAGAGATATAGAATTTTTCCTTGACATCCATACACTGTCAGTCTACTTCTCCTATAATTTTCTTCCTGAGAGAGAGTGCTGCCGTTGTCCGTTCGCTAATCTAATCAGAAGGTGCTTCTGTTGTAGCTGGTAAAAACCGTCGTATCCTGGGAAGTAGACGCCGACGTACCTCCAGCACCCAACGGTGAGGCGGCGAATCTATTTTAAGGAGACTGTGATATCACACAGGCTTCGGTTTGCTTCCTTTAACCATTTTATATTTTATTTATATTTCATTCAGCATGTTATTTTTCCTGGGATTGAAGGTTTGTTTTGTTCATCTCATAATTTTGCGATATGCAATGTGAAATTATGTAATGTGAGTAGTTTTTCCCAATAGTAGTTTCAGATGACTTCTTGTTTTATGTCTCCCTATATATAATTCTTCTTGTGATTGCATACTGATCTTGTGTCAAGTTATCTAAACCGATTACAATCATATTGTCTGTATGCCTTGTCATTCCCCATCAGATTCATTGTGGTTTAAAAATAAAGATATACCATAAAAGTTCTTAAAACAATTAATTGTAGATCAATGATATTTTATGATCTTAAGAACATTTAATAGGAAACAAAATGGAACATGGCTCTATTCAATTGAATCTGACTTATATGAGGATGGAGAACCCACTTTACAAGCTAAGCCATATTAATGATTTCCAGTTTGGAAAGAAAGGCCATTATAATTTCAGCAACTGAAGTATTAAGAGATTCAGAAATGCACCTTATTTCTTTTATAGGTTAGTTTTGAATTTTGCCATTGGTAAGTAACATAACTGGGGGTTATGGATTGGTTTCTGGCTTTGTTTTTGATTCCTGTGCTGTATGCTTTGGAAGTTTGTGTCTACTGATGTGAATAATAAGGAAACAACTCATATAGTCAAGCTGAACTGTGATTTTTATGTAAATGTGACCCATTATAGTTTGTTGAAATACTGATGTATGTCCGCTTCTTCGCCTGCCGTAGAGAAATTGGAGACGGCTCATGGGACTCTTGGTTTATGCCCCTACAGGAACAGGTAGGACCTAGCATAATAATGTTATTTGGCTCGTCATCTAGAAGTGTTGTTATTTGTAGTCAAGTTTTAATTTGTACTGTGCTTAATATTTACAGGCTGAAGAAGTTTGTGACAAGGTGGTGTATCTCCATGGCCACCTTCGGTGGTTCCATTGTTTTGTTTTCTAAGTTTGATTTTGCCTAGTGACTACTTCATAATCAAATTGACAGGTGAAGAAAATGAAAGAACACAGCAAGGGTTTCAACATAGTTGGTCTCTCCCAGGTGATCAATGAGGATTTGATATTTTCTATTTTTTGCAGTGCATTTGTATTGCTACATGCATTGTATAAATGTTTTTCTTTACTAGTCAGGAGAACGTCTTTAGTGGCTGCATATACTGTACTAGAGGAAAATTGCAATTTTGATATCAATAGAAATGAAGATAAAATGATTAAAGGATAGGAGAATGTGGCATTGATCAACCTCTAACATTATGGATAATTATATCCAGAAACTGTCAAGGCTATAGCACTACTTAGTTTAGTGGGTTAAAATAATTAAACAAGCATTTGGCAAAGTTTAACTCTTTTAAATGTCGTTGCTGTGCTAGTATGTGGCTCAATACAAGGTTCAGAGAGGTAATTCCATATGTTTTTCATGTATGGAATTATCACCAGCTCAAATAGTCCATCTCCCTTATGTCTGTGATTTGTTACCTTCTTTTGCTTTTTGAAGAGTTTTCCATATGGTTTTCAGTGCTCGAGGGATAATTATCTTGGTGTGTATTATTGTTAATAGAAGATACATTAGCCTGGTCAGTTAATAGAAAAATGCCAAAATTCTCTGTTTAGGATTTCAAAACCTTTATTTCCTAATATTCCTTATCCTTAACCCAATTTTTTACTTTTAAGTCTACGAGGACAAACAGTTCATGATGATCACACAATAAAATTTCAATAAAAGAAACTGATAAAAATGTTTAAATGTAGTATAACATGTAGTTGGTAAGTTCAAACACTTGTCGGTAAAGGTTTTTTCTTTTTTTCCTACTGTTTTGTAATTTTCTTGAGGCCACAGATTAACTTGATGATTTTATTTTTTTAATCAAAATATTTGAGGGCCCTCAAGATGTTGCTATCAATATGCATTTACTGTACCACAACGTGAAAATGCTTCAAAATACATTTTAGCATAACCAATATATGTTTTCTGTTCCTAACTTCACCTCTTAAATTTAGGCCAAGTTTGGGTACTTCCAAAAAAGTTAAAAAGTCAAAAAGTTACTCAAAAAGTTAAAAAGTTAACACTATTTACCAAAAGTCTATTCATCAAAAGTCAACAATTACGGCTGCACAACTCTCAATTCAAATTTTTCCCTACAAATCAATTTTTACAATTTTTTATTACACATTTTTCAATAAAAAGTCAAAAAGTTAACCCAAACATCTATATTTTCAACCTCACTTTTTTAATCCAAAAAGACAAAAAGTGTACTTTTTTAGTCTTTCCAAACTTAGCCTTAGTAAATGCAATTATACAACACTAAACAGTATTCACAGTGAATTCTTGAGATAGAGCTGGTTAAGGGTGAATAATATTATTGGGAGGGTTTTTTCACAAATAAATGCATAGCTCTCATGACTTTTTGGTTTGTTTGGCACGAAACGGCGTCGGAATAGAAAACGGCATCGGTTTGGCACGAAACTTGGCACACACGACCACCTAGGCACGAGAGACTTGTGGGAGAAGACGGGACTCCAATCGTGTTCCCGATTTGGGAGTTAAAGCCAGATTTCACTCTAGGCAAACTAGTTCTTTAACAAATTTGAATTCGAGGTGCGGACGCCCCAAAATCACCAAACGGCGTCGGTTTGTCACGAAACTTGGTACATACGACCGCCTCGGCACGAGAGACTTGTGGGAGAAGACGGGACTCCAATTGGGTTCCCAGTTTGGGAGTTAGAGCTGGATTTCACTCTAGACAAATTAGTTCTTTAAGAAACTTGAATTTGAAGTGTTGATGCCCCAAAATCATCAAACGGCGTCGGATTGGCATGAAACTTCGCACACACGACCGCCTAGGCACGAGAGACTTGTGGGAGAAGACAGGACGCCAATCAGGTTCCCGGTTTAGGAGTTAGAGCCGGATTTCACTCTAGACAAACTAGTTCCTTAAGAAACATGAATTCGAGGTGTTGACACCCCAAAATCACCAAACAGCGTTAGTGTGGCACGAAACTTGGCACACACGATCGTCTAGGCACGAGAGACTTGTGGGAGAAGACGGGACTCCAATCGAGTTCCCGGTTTGGGAGTTAAAGCCGGATTTTGGTCTAGGCAAACTAATTTATTAAGAAATTTGAATTAGAGGTGTTGACGCCCCAAAATCACCAAACGGGGCCGGTTTAGCACAAAACTTGGCACACAAGACCGCCTAGGCACGAGAGACTTGTGAGAGAAGACGGGACTCCAATTGGGCTTCCAGTTTGGGAGTTAGAGCAGGATTTCACTATAGGCAAACTGGTCCCTTAAGAAACTTGAATTTGAGGTGTTAACGCCCCAAAATCACCAAACGGCGTTGGATTGGCATGAAACTTCGTACACACGACCGCCTAGGCACGAGAGACTTTTGGGAGAAGACGGGACTCCAACCAGGTTCCCGATTTAGGAGTTAGAGGCGGATTTCACTCTAGGAAAACTAGTTCCTTAAGAAAAATGAATTCGAGGTGTTGACGCCCCAAAATCACCAAACAGCATTGGTGTGGCACAAAACTTGGCACACACAGCCTGGGCACGAGAGACTTGTGGGAGAAAACGGGACTCCAATCGGGTTCTCGATTTAGGAGTTTGAGCCGGATTTCAGACTAGGCAAATTAGTTTATTAAGAAATTTGAATTGGAGGTGTTAACGCCCCAAAATCTCCAAACGGCGTCAGTTTAGCACGAAACTTGGCACACACGATCGCCTAGGCACGAGAGACTTGTGGGAGAAAACGGGACTCCAATCGGGTTCCCGGTTTGGGAGTTAGAGCCGGATTTCGGTCTAGGCAAACTAGTTTATTAAGAATTTTGAATTGGAGGTGTTGACGTCCCAAAATATCCAAACGGCGTCAGTTTAGCACGAAACTTACACATGACCGCCTAGCCATGAGAGACTTATGGGAGAAGACGGGACTCCAATCGGATTCCCGGTTTGAGAGTTAGAGCCGGATTTCGGTCAAGGCAAACAAATTTATTAAGAAATTTGAATTGGAGGTGTTGACGCCCCAAAATCACCAAACAGAGTCAGTTTAGCATGAAACTTGGCACACACGACTGCCTAGGCACGAGAGACTTGTGAAAGAAGACGGGACTCCAATTGGGTTCCCGGTTTGGGAGTTAGAGCCGGATTTCACTCTAAGCAAACTAGTTCATCAAAAAATTTGAATTGGAGGTGTTAACGCCCTTAAATCTCCAAACGGCGTCGGATTAGCATGAAACTTGGCACACACAACCGTCTAGGCACGAGAGACTTGTGGGAGAAGACGGGACTCCAATCGGGTTCCCGATTTGGGAGTTAGAGCCAGATTTCGATCTAGGCAAACTAGTTTATTAAGAAATTTGAATTGGAGGTGTTGACGCCCCAAAATCACCAAACGGCATTGGTTTAGCACAAAACTTGGCACACACGACCGTCTAGACATGAGAGACTTGTGGAAGAAGATCGGACTCAAATTGGGTTCCTGGTTTGGGAGTTAGAGTCGGATATCACTCTAGGCAAATTAGTTCCTTAAGAAACTTGAATTCAAGGTGTTGAGGCCCCAAAATCTCCAAACGGCGTCGGTTTAGCACGAAACTTGGCACAGACAACCGTTTATGGGAGAAGACGGGACTCCAATCGGGGTTTGGGAGTTAGAGCCGGATTTCACACTAGGCAAACTAGTTCATTAAGAAATTTGAATTTGAGGTGTTGACGCCCTTAAATCTCCAAACGGCGTCGGATTAGCACGACCAACCAGGCACGAGAGAATTGTAGGACAAGACGGGACTCCAATCAGGTTCTCGATTTAGGAGTTAGAGGAGGATTTTAGTCTAGGCAAACTAGTTTATTAAGAAATTTGAATTGGAGGTGTTGACGCCCCAAAATCCCCAAACGGCGTCGGTATAACACGAAACTAGGCACACACGACCGCCTAGGCACGAGAGACTTGTGGGAGAAGATGGGACTCCAATCGAGTTCCCAGTTTGGGAGATAGAGCCGGATTTTGGTCTAAGCAAACTAGTTTATTAAGAAATTTGAATTAGAGGTGTTGACACCCCAAAATCACCAAACGGAATCGGTTTAGCATGAAACTTGGCACACACGACCGCCTAGGCACAAGAGACTTGTGGGAGAAGATGGGACTCCAATTGGGTTCCGAGTTTGGGAGTTAGAGCCGGATTTCACTCTAGGCAAACTAGTTCCTTAAGAAACTTGAATTTGAGGTGTTGATGCCCCAAAATCACCAAACGGCATCGGATTGGCGTGAAACTTCGCACACATGACCGCCTAGGCACGAGAGACTTGTGGGAGAAGATGGGACTCTAATCAGCTTCCCGGTTTAGGAGTTAGAGTCGGATTTCACTCTAGGCAAACTAGTTTATTAAGAAATTTGAATTGGAGGTATTGACGCCCCAAAATCCCCAAACGACGTCGGTGTGGCACGAAACATGGCACACACGACCGCCTAGGCAGGAGAGACTTGTGGGAGAAGACGGGACTCTAATCGGGTTCCCGATTTGGGAGTTGGAGCCAAATTTCAGACTAGGCAAACTAGTTTATTAAGAAATTTGAATTGGAGCTGTTAATGCCCCAAAGTCACCAAACGGGATCGGTTTAGCACGAAACTTGGCACACACGACTGCCTAGCCACGAGAGACTTCTGGGAGAAGACGGGACTCCAATCGGGTTCCCAGTTTGGGAGTTAGAGCCGGATTTCGGTCTAGGCAAACTAGTTTATTAAGAAATTTGAATTGCAGGTGTTGACGCCCCAAAATCACCAAACGACGGCAACTTAGCACGAAACTTGGCACACACGACCGCCTAGACACGAGAGACTTGTAGGAGAAGACGGAACTCCAATCAGGTTCCCAGTTTGGGAGGTAGAGCTGAATTTCGGTCTAGGCAAACTAGTTTATTAAGAAATTTAAATTAGAGGTGTTGACGCCCCAAAATACCAAACGGGGTCGGTTTAGCACGAAACTTGGCACACACGACCGCCTAGGCATTAGAGGCTTGTGGAAGAAGATGGGACTTCAATTGGGTTCCCGGTTTGGTAGTTACAGTCGGATATCACTCTAGGCAAACTAGTTTCTTAAGAAACTTGAATTCGAGGTATTGACGCCCCAAAATTACCAAACGGCGTCTGTGTGGTACGAAACTTGGCACACACGACCGTCTAGGCACAAGAGACTTGTGGGAGAAGAAGGAACTCCAATCGGGTTCCCGGTTTGGGAGTTAGAGCTGGATTTCACTCTAGGCAAACTAGTTCATTAAGAAATTTGAATTAGAGGTGTTGACGCCCCTAAATCTCCAAACGGCGTCGGATTAGCACGAAATTTCGCACACACGACCGCCTAGGCACGAGAGACTTCTGGGAGAATATGGGACTCCAATTAGGTTCCCGATTTGGGAGTTAGAGCCGGATTTCGATCTAGGCAAACTAGTTTATTAAAAAATTTGAATTGGAGGTGTTGACGCCCCAAAATCACCAAACGGCGTTGGTTTATCACAAAACTTGGCACACACGACCGCCTAGGCACGAGAGACTTGTGGGAGAAGACGGAACTCCAATTGGGTTCCCGGTTTGGGAGTTAGAGTCGGATATCACTATAGGCAAACTAGTTCCTCAAGAAACTTGAATTCGAGGTGTTGACGCTCCCAAATCTCTAAACAGCGTCGGATTTTCCCAAAACTTGGTACACACGACCACCTAGGCACGAGAGACTTATGGGAGAAGACGGGACTCCAATCGGGTTCCCGATTTGGGAGTTAAAGCCGGATTTCACTCTTGGCAAACTAGTTCATTAAGAAATTTGAATTGGAGGTGTTGACGCCCCAAAATCTCCAAATGGCGTCGTTTTAGCATGAAACTTGGCAGACATGACCGCCTAGACACGAGAGACTTGTGGAAGAAGACTGGACCCCAATCGGGTTCCTAGTTTGGGAGTTAGAGCCGGATTTTGGTCTAGGCAAACTAGTTTATTAAGAAATT